TCAGCAGGAGGCAAATTAAGTTGGTTTAATCGTCTGGGTGTTGTATTTCCATCAGAATGAGCAACTACTTTAATTTTGTAAAATTTCTCCAGTATGGGTAATGGTTTTACTCAATAAATACGGTGTATAACCCCACCCCCTGCTTTCAAAGCCTCCCCAAAACTAAATTCCTAAAGCACTGAATTTGGTCTCAACTCAGTTTGATATGAGAGAACTTCCTCAAGCTTTTCCCTTATAGGTTTGTTTTTTTTTTTTTTTTTTTTTTTTTTTTTAAAAAGCATGCTTGTTATCTTTATAAATTTATTTATTTATTTATTTTTGGCTGTGTTGGGTCTTCGTTTCTGTGCGAGGGCTTTCTCTAGTTGTGGCAAGCGGGGGCCAGTCTTCATCGCGGTGCGCGGACCTCTCACTATCGTGGCCTCTCTTGTTGAGGAGCATAGGCTCCAGACGCGCAGGCTCAGTAGTTGTGGCTCACAGGCCTAGTTGCTCCATGGCATGTGGGATCTTCCCAGACCAGGGCTCGAACCCATGTCCCCAGCATTAGCAGGCAGATTCTCAACCACTGCGCCACCAGGGAAGCCCCCCTTATAGGTTTTTGTAATAACTCTATAAAAGACTTGTTTAATGTGCCATGAGAGTTTCATCCATAGAACCCTCTTCACTATGCAACCCTCTTATAATCATTAGAGAAAAGCAGTAACATATCACTTTTTCTCATTTGTAAAATGCTCTCTAGAGACCACAGCTCTTTCCTATTTCCTGTTTCACTTGATTCTCCCAACATCCCAGAGATGTCCCCCTTATATTTCACAGAAGACAAACTGAAGCTGAGAAAAGTCAAATTACCTGGCTGTTGTTAAATAGTGATTAGTGTCAGAGCCAGAAATAAACCCAGATCTCACCAATCTTAGAGTCCACTATTTCCTAACAAAATTCAACTGATAAAAACAGTAATAATAAAACTTTCCTGAGGACATTTTCATAGGCCTTCTCCAAAAAAGCTGGAGGCCAAGCAGGGCACCTGCTGGGTAGTGTGAAGACCACATGTGCACAGCGCTTCAAACTCCATTCCTAAAATAACTTAATAAATAGCACAGTACTCAAAAACTTTTCTTAGCAGGAAGTGCAAACCTTGTACAGAAAAGACTCACATACAACTCCTGCCCTGAAGCATTTGGAAAGTTGCCAATGACAGCAGTGAGACAAATCCACTTCTTGCTTCTTGAGCAATTTTACTCTCTTCTTCCCTGGCACATTCTGTTCCGTCTGCTCTAGCTCATCTAGGTTTTTTTGTTTTGTTTTTATTTTTCAGTAATTCCCAGCACACCCTTAAATTTTACAGCCAAATTCTGTCCTGAAACAAAGCACAGGATTTGGTACCACAACAGGTCTACCTATTTGCAGGCATACCAGGCATTCTGCATTCAAATGATTTTTCTGCAGATCAGTACTGGGACTTGTAAGTCTATTGAAAATGCAAAAGGCTAAGACCCTAAGCACAGCAAAATTCTTTGACTTTTATACAGCTCCCTGATTTCTAGCCGGCAAAATCTTCCAGAGGTGCCAAACAAAATGCTCTAAATTCCTTATCATTTGTCCATACAACACAACGCTTTTGACAATTTCATCTATTGATATCTTCAGAAGACTGATAGCTCTTAAAGCAGGGGCTTTCAAACTTTTCATTAATGGCAACCAAGAGTACAAAATACATTTTACATGACCACCCAGTACAGATGCAACATATACACGTGTAAATGAAACAAAAGTTTCTTGAAACAATACTTAACCTTACTCTATCTTACACTGATATTTTCTATGCCATTTTTTTAAGTGCTGGTAGAAACCCACTAAATTACTACACCTCACTTATCAGTTTGAAAAAAGGACGCCTATTACTCATTGTCTAGCAACATCACCTAACAGTGAGGAT